CAGAGATGATCAAATCATGATGCATGTATTGTTCATTTGTAGCCATGGTTGCTGCAGAAGCTATGTTGATGATGATGGCGTTGGTGACTGGTCAAAGTAGACTGTGTTGCAAATGTCTGTACGCAACGGCATCCAACTTGAATGGAAGATGACCCGTGCTGACGAACTTAAGCAGTCGCACGTAGCAGTTGCGAAAAGGCTAATTCATCCTCCCCAGTGCAGGATTAGCAGGACGGGAGTTTCTGGAGACACGCTCTCCCGCTCGCCGGTACATGTCAGCATTCGAGATGGGGTATACTATGCAAGTTACTACATGAGGTAAAATCCTAGCTTGTTTCGGTGTGTCTTTGCTTGTGGCCGGTAAGTTGTATATATGGGTGGAGCAACGCGGTATAGTGTGGTAATAATAACCCCAAAAGGAAGTTGACCTCCTGCAAGGCCATGGACTGAGTTTCGGCGAACCATTCATGTGCATGTCGGACGCCGGCGCCATACTGACGAGGCAAGAACACACATGTGGTGCTCTCTCTCTCTCTCTCTCTCTCTCTCTCCTCATTACCAATGATCTTTGTGCTCTTCCACTTCCGTGGTCAGAAAAAAGATTGCACCTCCATTAGTCATTTATACATGGGACTTTGAGATATACTTCAGGAATTTCAGAAAATGTATGTGGGCCAAGCCCATTATTTCTAACACTTGGTTCATTCATGTTACATATGGTTATGTCTAGACTTACGAAAGAGAGCCATACAGACGCACAATCACTAAACCTGAGATTACATATGACAAAATCAAATCAAATCACAGGTACACTCAAAATTGGTGCTCAATAGACATTCTCACAGGCACATAATTGTCCATTGTTTGACATGATGGACTAGCTCAACTCCACTTACATACGTTGCAACTACAGTTCCATGTGGCAACATTAACAGACACACAATAAGCTTGCTTGGTGTGATCTCACCAGGAACTTTGGCATGCATATTGGCAAGTCAATGCGATGCATGCAGGGCCTGTAAAAGCAACGTGCAGTTCACACTCTGCAGAAAAGAATGCACATTGTTAAAAGAAGTACAAATTGAGAAGGATCTAAAGGAATCCATGCAATTCGGCTGACAATTATTACTCTACTCTAGTTGTCATGTGAAAGGAGACATATATAAGGTCAGGGAGAATGATTTTGTACCCGCATGAGATGAATTTCCTAGCAGCAAAAGCACCATAAAGCAAAGAAGAATATTTTTGCCCTCCATCAGAGGCAAACTTCTCGTTTCTGTTTGGGCGTCCAGAAGAATACAGGTTGTTTTCTCTATATATAGACTTGTATCTTAGAGAGGATTTACTCCTAGGTCACTCCTTTTCCTCCCGATTCACTCAAATAAAATCGAAAATAACACTGCTTTTATTCCCTGTTCACTCAAATTAGATTGAGAAGATCTGACCTTATCACTGCCCTTAATTTGTACAGATTGGTTCTATCCCTTTATTATTATTATTATTATTATTATTATTATTATTATTATTATTATTATTATTATTATTATTACATACTATATATGTCCATATCTATGCTGATATAAATTTGGGAGATACTCTAGATTGTGCCCCATTGAATGTGATCCGATCAAATTAAACCTAAAATTAGGGGCGGCACTAGGGGTACTCTTGGGTCTTCATGTGAATACCCATGATTTTTACAAAACAGTGTTGATTTTGTCAAAGAGTGACATTTTTTGAAAAATAGCAATGATTTTGATAAAATGAATACACATGAATACCCGGTTGCAAATTCCTGGAGCCGCCACTGCCTAAGATTCTAGCTGGGCGCGCCCCACCAAGTACTCACCTGCAGACAACTTTAGTGTGACGGTGTACTTTAACCCCAAGACGCAAGTACCCCCTTCATTTTTATTTAGTCCGCGTATTAGCTTTGGTCAAAGTCAAATTTTGCAAATATTGACAAAATTTATAAACAAAAATATTAACATATATAATAATAAATGAATACCATTAGATTCATCGCTAAATGTACTTTCACATCATATAGATTTGTTATGGTAAATGTTTATATTGTGAAATATAAACTTAGTCAAAATTTATGAAGTTTGACTTTAGTCAAATCTAATATGTAGTGTAAAAAAACTGAGGGAGTAAGAAGTAACGGAGGGATGGACAGTAAATTTCGGTACCGAGTTGCTTAGTTTGTGGTGGTACCATGCGGCGCCATGGAGGCTTCGGTGTGGATTCTGTCCCTCTCACCTCCTTCATGAACGCAGGTGACAGCCCCTGCTCCTCTGCTTTGTTGTGACAAACCCAGTCCGGCAACGAAAGCTGAGTAGCCTCCGGCGACATGAACAGTACCGGATGAACCTCTCTCTCTCACGCACACTCAGACATACAGAGGTGGAAGAACAAGAGGAGCATACATGACGAAAGAAGAAGAACAGCGCCACGCCGCCGAACGGCGGTGTTTTTCTCCTCGAGCGCAAACTCTTACCACACCACGTACAAGGACGGGCCTTTTATGCTGAGGTGCACTCACAAACGATCTAGTTGCCACACTGGCTACTGATCACGCACCGATGACCCCATCCCTCCTAGAATCTCTCTGGACCTGCACTACCGGTTAACAACTCATTCCTGCATGCATATCTTCTTAAGTACTAGCTACATGCATCCAAGAGCATCATTGTGCTCAATGGCCATTGACTGGAGCTAGTCCCATGTGGTGACAGGGAACGCGAGCACAAACACTTCCACCACCATGATACAAACGCATGCACACAAACGCACGCGAACGCATGCTGGTCATCACACCGAAGCGTGGTTTACTCCTAATATGCTTTGGGCGACGACGACACATGCGTGCCATGTTCCTTCCTGAAGGCTCCGGCCGGGAAATGCTCATGGAAATGCAGCAAGGCACCATGGTCTGTGGAGCGAGTTATCTTGCCTAGAAAGCTCACTCGTTATTCCATGCAGAGCACGGGGTAGAAGCCAGCGAATTAAAGACGAAGCACAAGGGCGAGGTGCAGGGAAGCACGATTCAGCGGACCCGGGTGGACATTATGATCGTACGGCGACCCTCGTAGCTCGACGCATCAGCGACACGCCAGCTGGACCCAAAAAGTTAGATGCTGGAGCATGTTATTTAAGGAACATGGTTCCTTTTCAATTTGCTGTTGAGCCAAATGTAATTGGGACGAATCTGAATGTCTCCCTGCTGTTATTTGTTATTTCTGCTATCTTTTGACTATATCCCTGGTTTTTCCTGAGTCCTGTACTGTAGCTACAATTCCGATAAGCTCTGACATATCAATGGATTGGTGTGAGGATGGGATATATACACTTAGTTTGGGATGGGATATATACACTTAGTTTGGACGGTGGTTCAATAATAGACTATGGGTGTAAGCAATATTCCTATTTTTGCCGGTTGTGACTACTTTTTTGTGAACTTTGTTCCTGAAGCTTGTTTGAAACTTTAGTAAATATATGGTTGTGTTTATCACAATGATGAAGAGGCCGAGGGTTATCCTCCTTATAAAAAAATCCATTGTATAGCTTAATTTAGTTCATGGCAGAAAATGCTGATAATAAAGTAGTACAAAATCTACTCCTATGCCGGCTGGATGCAACTTGTTTCTCATCAACTGTATGTAGGATTCGAAAAACTGTAATCGTGCACGGCATATCTTCTCCAGTTAGGTATAGTTGATACAAACGTACTCCCTCCGTCCCAAAGTACTTGTCGCGGAAATAGACATATCTACACGTATTTTAATTCTAGATACATTCATTTCTAACCATTTGTATGACAAGTAATTCCGGACCGAGGGAGTATTAGGTAACTCCTCGAGGTCCAACTTTTTGTTTGTAGTGGCCAATAGGAAGCTGTACTGATTTGCCGTACCGGGTTCATCTCTGCATTGACCTGTAAACATGTGTAGCAGCTAACTGATAGCACCATATTTTAGGGTGGTGCGGGGGGGCTCATCTCTCTCTCTTATTTCTTAATTAGTTGATTCATCTTGATACTCTGCGAGGAGGATACAACTTATATGATAAAAACAGTTTACGCCCCATGTGTGAGATCTTGAATGTTGTTGTTTGCAGCTTTAGGGGCTTCTTGTTTTGATGAGAACACTCTCAAACTTAATGTGATGTTTGAGATGAATTTGAACCAGTAATTACATTTTGTACACCCAAACAAAGTGGACTATATTCCTGCTCTCACCTCTTACGTTTAGTGGGTTATAGTACAAGTGCATAGAAGGTTCTGTAAGTGACATAACATGAGGTAATAAGAAGCCTATATATTTGCTGATACGGGGTTCGCACTCAGAACTTCTACTTCCATCTATAAGGTGCTAAAATTATCCCTTACACATGGAGGTAATTAGGGTTCACTAGCGTGCAGGAAAAGAAAGGTTCAGACTTCAGAGAGATGGCCGGGGCAACGACCTGACAGAAGTGGTGGCCTCGGCAAAGGGGACGAGTGGCAAGACGGCACCTCATTGATGCAGCGTCCTGGTTACAGAAGGTTGCGTCATGCAGATGGCAGTGATTAGGTCTACGAGGTACGCGCAACGTAGCACGACGGCAATGGTGGTGGGCTTGACCCACAAAAGATTCACTTCATTCGGCGGTTGCGTAGTGTCAGTGCGGTGAGTAAGAGCTTGTGTCCTGTGCGCCAATGTTTCTACATGCCTTGAGGGTACTATTTTGCCAAAGAGAATTAAGCACTAAGACGGTTGCCAAGGTGCGTCCTTGCCTCTGCACTACCTGCTCCACGACAAGGACTACCAGTACAATACACTTGGTTCGTTCGTGTTGTATATGGTTATGAAACTCCATGCGATGCGTACACTCCATAAGATTATGAACGGCAAAATAAAATCAAATAGAATATCACATGCATGTCACCATAATGTTTTATGACTGGACATCATTTTTCATTATTTGGCATGATGGAAAAGTCCAACTTGATATAGTCACTAATCGCAGAGCGTACATAAACAGGAGACTATGAAAAATCCAGTCATTTTACAATAAGAACCTTTCACGAGCTTTCCGAACTTCTTCACGCATTTGTTCTGGCAGAAATTTTCGTCTAGGCAATACAAAGGTATCCAGTAAGCAGGCTTTTCATAGCACCCTGTGGACAAGAACATACGTCAGTAAGAGAAATCCACATTAAGAAACTTGTGCAGTTGTCTCCACTTGGAGGAATAAGAGACGCATATATAGGGACATGGAGATTGATTTCTTACGAGCATGAATTGAATCTCCTAGCAGGACTAGCACCGTGAGGCAAAGAAGAATAGCTTTCCCCTCCATAAGGCAAGCTCAAAATTCTGATTCTCGTTTCTGTTTGGGCATCGAGATGCATACATGATGTTATCTTATAGATTTGCAGCTAGAGAACATTTCGTCCTGGTTCACTCAAATATAAAAAAATCAGACCATATCATTTTCCTTAATTCCATATTGTATCCATTTCATGTTATTATATCTATCTAAATCTACGACGATGGTATCCATTTAATGTTATGATATCTATCTATATCTACGACAATGGTATCCATTTAATGTTATCATATCTATGACGATTGTATCGATAATGTTATTATAATTAAAAAGATCTGACCAAATCATTGTCCTTATTTTCTAAAAGTATGGTTCTATCTTTAAGATGGTATCTATTTAATGCTATTATATCGATCTATATCTTGGACGATGGTATCCTTTTAATGCTATTACGTCTATCTACATTCAGGATGGCAAAGAAGAATAGCTTAATCCTTCAAAAGAATCAAGGATGGCAACAGATAGGGTATGATATTGGTATAATAATCTCATACCCATACCCATATTTATATAATTATAACCATACCCTATGTTGGAATAAATCACGATGTGGCCTTGTCCGGCTCGGACATGGTACAATCACCTTATAGTACTACTAGGATTAGGACTTGGTAACCGGCTAGGTTAGATTGAGTTGGTCCTAGATACTACATATATGGAGGTATACCCTTGTAAGATTATTAAATCAAAGCAATAACAAATCTCAGGAGCGACACGCTCCTGTTGCCATACATCAACGCCTTGTGTTCACGTGTCCTGCTAGTTGAGAATCGGCAGCCGGCAACGCATACGTGCGTTGTGGTCCGGTGAGAATCAATCGAGCTACTAGCCTGCCAGCTTGCTCGTTCAATACGTAGGCGTGTATCTCGACGGCCGAAAGTACAGGTTGTCCGAATCGCGTCGTATAAAGTACATCGGAAAGTATTTGACGTATGGGTCGGTGCCAACAATTGGTATTAAGAGCTTGGTTTGTCGGTCGTGATCTTCGGAAAGCACTCGAAGAATCATGTCGAACACAGGCAAGGAGATCATGACGGCGGCAGCACGAGCACCGATGTCGGTGGTGGTGGTGGGGGGGGGGTCACAATTCCCCCGTCTGGATCGAGAGGACTACGCGCTATGAGCGATGAACATGGAGGTCGCGATGGACGGAGCCGATCTCTGGGAAGCCGTCGACCCCGGTAGCGCCGAGTATGCGAAGGGCGTGGCGAAGTATCGGACGGATCGTCGGGCATTAACGGCGATCTATTCCGCCATGCCGAAGGATGTGCTGCAACACCTCGTCAGAAAGAACTCGCCGAAGGAGGCATGGGAGACCATCAAGATCTTGCACCAGGGTCATGACCGTGTCAAGGAAGCACACCTTCAGTCCCTGATGAGCAGGTACGAATGCGTGAAGATGGATGAAAGTGAGACGGTTGATCAGTTTGCCGCCCGTCTCAAGATCCTCGTCAACGGCATACACAGCTATGGTTCAGCCCTAGAAGATGTTAAGATCGTCCGATGATTTTTGCGCGCCACACTGGCACGCTACATCCAGATCATCACGTCGATCGAACAATGTCTCGACCTGAAGACTCTCACGGTCGAGGATCTTGTCGGAAGGTTCAAGGCCCACGAGGAGAGAAGTCGTCTCAGCTTCGGCGACCCGGAAGCGAGTGAGCACCTGATGCTGACAAAGGCGCAATGGATCACCCTATCGAAAGAAAAGCAAGGGGATCCACGAGCAGTGGCAAGAAGAAAGGGAAAGGGAAGCAGCGCTCGGCGAGAAAGAACTTCGCCGACTCAGACGACGAGGCTGCGCCTGCACCACCGAGGAGGAAGTTTGACATTAGGGAAGTGAGGTTTCATAAGTGTGGTCTCTTCGGTCACTTCAAGGCTAACTACGAGGAAGCACCGAAGCAATGGGTGCTCATGGCTGAGGAAGGAGACGACGGGGATATGATGCTGATGTGCGAGCTAGTGGACGAGGAGGATCCAGATGATCACGGGGATATGATGCTGATGCCCACGCTTCGTAGTCGCCGTCGTCGCTGCCGTCGTCATCCTCCTTCTCCTTCTTCAGATGTCCGTCCCTGCTGGACCCTTGCCCGGGGTCACCCTGGCGGACTGGTTTGGCCGGCAACGGCGCCTCATCGTCGATGTCAGGACGACGATGCCTCCCTCGTCGCGGCCACGACACCGTGTGGCAATCTCCTCCAGGACGCTGCGCTGGCGCTCCATCTCCAGCCGCGCCTAGTCCTCCCGTGCCCACTTTATGGCGGCCTCATCAGTGTGCTCGCTCTTCACTAGGGCGAGCTCCGGCTCCTTCTTCGGCTTGACGAGGCGGGACGTAGGAGCTGAGTATGACGAGGGCGGCGCCGTGGGTGCGCCGGCTGAGCGACGTTTCTGCGGGCTCAGTCTTGACGCTGACGAGCGCCGGCGACCCGGAGGAGTGGGAGGAGGATCGGGAGGAGGAGGAGGAGGACTCGCCCAGCATTCGCCTCGGCAGCCATGGGCCGCCACTCCGGCGGGGGAACGGGGCCGCCGAGTACTCGAGCGGCGGATCGTTGCCACCCTCGAGGTACTCGAGGAAGGGGTGGAGTGTGTGGCCGGGGGCGCCCCACCACAGGCGGTGGTCGTCGCTGTTGTTACACCCCCATACCACCGGCGCGTTGTTGATGGAGGCGAGCCGCTCCGCCTGCCGACGTTTGAAGTACGCCACCCACGCCTCGTGGTTGCCGGCGTAGTATCCCGGGAGGGGCCTCTCCTCCTCCGACAGAGAGGCCCGAACACGCCCGATCTCGGCGTGGAAGTAGATGGGGTGTTCGACGTCGGGCAGCGGGATGACTGGGATGCCCCTGGCACTGAGCCTCCACCACCCAGGCACGCGCATGTCGGGGGGTGCCGGGTTGTTCGCCTCGTGGAGGAGGTGGGCTTCCCACTCATGTAGAGAGCGGTGGCCCAAGCCGGTGGCCGCCGCGTCATCGCCAGGGAACTGTTCACCCATCGGCTGCGCGTGCACGCGGTGGCTAGACGGGGAGAGAGGGAAAAAGAGGGCGTCGGCGACGAGAGAGGGGGGCTGCGGGCAGGTCCGTCCAGCGGCGAGGGAGGGGCGCCTTTTATAGCGGCCGGGGGGCGGCAACGTGTGTACGCTTGGCGCGCTGCACTGCACCGCACGTGAGAAATCACTGGAAGGCTGACCGGTGGCAGACTTGGCATTGATTCCCCACGGGAAACCGAGGCGATAAGGACGACGAGGCGCGGGGGTCGCTGACTTGGTGGGCCTGCTGTTTTTTTGTGTCAAAAAGATTGACCCGACGCCCCCAGGCGCCCCAGCGCGCCGGGTACAGCCTGGGTCCGCCGGCGCCGGTTTCTGGCCTTACCGGCGAAAATTGGCTCCTGGGGCGCGACTGCGCCGTTTTTCCAGCGACGACGCTAAAAAATGGCCTTGAGGAGCTGTTGAGGGCGCGGCTGGAGATGGTCTAAGTGACTTTGTGTCGAAGAATGAAGGAGTTACAAATTTTAGGCCTCCTTTGGTTTGTAGGAATTTCATAGGATTTCTATAGGATAGGATTTGCAAACGAAAATTTTCTTTAAAGCCCTTTGGTTTATAGGAATGGATTTCTATTCTTATGTAGGATAGGAATCAATCCTTCACATTTTGGAGGAAAAAAACATTAGTTAAGACTCAATGGAAAAAAATCATATCCTGTGCATCAAATGACATCTCTTTTTCTATAAGAATTGAGATGCATGTCATCTGACTTCCTATGATTTCTCTATTCCTAAAGCATTCCTATCCTATAAATCAAAGGAGGCCTTAATTTTTCCCTGGACCCTAAAAATCTCAGGACTGGCCATGTGTACGTGCAAACAAGCCTTTGGCCAGGAACTACTAGCAACACGCTGGGGACATAAATGCCACTAGCGTACAAATAATTAACTACTAGATCGTTAAAGGCGCGCGTTTTGCCACGCCCGTCTATTTGAAAGGTTGTATGATTCAGTTTTACATACTGAAAGAAGACTTCACAAATTTTGGTAGAACCAAGCATTCATCTTACTGGAAGAAAATAAACCTACTATGTTCCAAGCACCAAGTGAGCTTTATATCCAGCATTCATCTTACAGACAACTACTAAAGTCACTTCAACATGGTGTTCTTTATGAAACAAAATGAGTCTGAGTAGCAAATAATATATCTGAATGGGATAATATATGTACAAAATTTAAGAAAGCATTCCCATTAATACAATTGGTGGTATTATTTTTGTAGCATGTCAGACACAAAAATAGATTAGAGGAAAACGCCGGATGTGCACAGTGCAAAAGTATAATACAAGAGACCTTTAGGATGAAAGATGTAGCAGCTGCTCACCCGTACAAAGAAGAAGGGCTGATAATAGGGCAATTGTCTCAATAAATTAAAGGAAACACATGTATATACATGGATAGGAAAACAGTAGAATAATTGGAAATTTCTACCAATAGGATTCAGATTTACCACAGTAATGGAAACAGAGACACGGGATCATAATGTAGCAAAGACCAGAAACATCACTTTAGATGATAAATAAGGGTGATTGTAGAGCTGCAAGTCTTGGATAATTCTGTTCAGACAGGAGCAGTGGTTCTCTGGAAACACTGTACAGATAAGCTGGAATTGGCAAACACAAAGTCGCAGGCAGATGACATAATAAGTAAAACGTCCAAAAAGGGTGGTCACATGCACAACATCTTCATTTATTTAATTTATTAATACTCCCTCCATACCACAATTTAAGACGTTTTTGCAAGCTAAAACAGTTTGCAAAAACGTCTTACATTATGGAACGAAGGGAGTAGCTCCCGAAGTTGATGAGCCAATTTTTGCTCAGGGAGATGCAGTTTCTTTTTCGAAGCAGAGGTCCTGGTTGTGTCCGTTGCAGACCTGTAAATCGTGAAGACATGTATTAATATATACATATATATATATGTATGTCAAAAAA